TTAGACTCTTGGCACTCTTAGGTGAGCAGACTTAGTCAGCCTGTGTTGCCCTAACACTTAGAGACTGTTGCACAGCACTACAGACCCTTACTATGCAGACAATGCACCCCAGCAATGAGTCTTGACTCCCATGGATATTTGGCATGGCAACTACTATGATTCCCCAGGTGACAGGACCCTTGGATATTTGGCATGACAACAGCAGGTTTCCTCCATAACAGGATCGACCCATTCAGATATTTGGCATGCCAATGCTTGCCTTAGAGAGGTATCCAGAGACTGGATTAGTATAGAGTATGGTTTATGGTAGCTAGTGTAAGTAGTTTTCAGAAACTCCTGTATCTAGCTTATTCTGCCCCTTTTCTGATAGACTTATATGGATCTGATTATCCCCTTGCTGGATAGGCAGATTTGCCTTGACTTAGCTGATTTGACTTGACTTATTGTGACTTGACTAGAGGGACACTGAGCTCCAATTATTGCATACCAACTCTTGATAGCTCAGCTACAGGCTGACTCCTGCATTTCTACCAACTTTCCCCATCTCTCCCCTCTTTTCCAAGCGAGTTCTTGCACACCACCCATCAGACCAATATTTCGGACACCTCTTGGGTTGGATCAGCACTCCTACTGGCAAACACCCCAGCAAGTGGAGAGATTATTCCTCCCAGTCCCAGAATGGCAGCCATGATGGTCAAATTGGAAACAGAAGCAGCCCTAGCTCAGATCAAGAGTTTGATTCCAAACATCAAGGCCAAAGTAAACCTGAACGTGCAGGAACACATGCTAGAGGTACTTACCCAGCTTGAGGAAAAGTTTGAAATGATGGCAACCAGGGCAATGTACAATACAAACCATTCAAATGACCAGTACCAGAATTTGAATCAATGGCCAGGCAGAAATCAAGCTCCAAACAATGACAGGAACAGTCAAAACAGATGTCTATGGTGCAGAGCACTGGACCACTTCATGAGGTAGTGTTCCCTTCTCAAGGAGAGCCTTTGAACTGGCTATGTCAGTCAGAATTTGCAAAATAAGATCACTCTTCCGGATGGAGTGCCAATTCCTTCATGGCCTTCTGGGGTACTGAGAGACTGCATTCGTGCATGGTATGCCAGGATTCTGCCAGCTGCCACAAAAGAGGCCCCAGCTGCGGATACTTGACTGGCTCCAGTTCACATTGTTCAGGCATTCACAGGAGCCAACAACTTTCTAAACTTTTTGAAACTGTCTCAAGGTTCGGAAGTAAACATGGTGGACTCAGCATTGGCAGCACAGGAAGCAGAACTATGGTCAATCATCATGTCCCTTGAAACCAGGCTTGAAGAGGCAACTCTGAAACAGGAAATGTACCAAACTGAACCTTATGTTCCAAAAGGCAAAGGGCACATGGTTGAAATGGAACTACAGGAACTGGAGCAGGACACGACATTGGAGGAAGGGCCATGCTGTTCAAAGGACCTTTCCAAGGCAGTCAAAAAGGAAACAGATAAGGACATCCACCCTCAAATGCAGTTCCAAGCTCCCATGGAAAATGATTTGATGGTCAAAACAGCTATCTCAAATATAATGAAAAGCCAGGTAATGGTGTCTCTTGAAGAAGCAATGGCCATGTCCCCTCAGATTCAGAAACATCTGTTCCAGCAGATGCAATCTCAGAAAGTACCTCAAATGGCACCTGTATGGAGCACAATGGCCACTATTGAGGAAATTTTGACAGGAGCAGAACCTGTAATGCATACGGAGGAGCACAAAAAGCCAGCACTCTCAAGAGGTATTATCACAGCTCCGGAGGTTGTCAGATTGAGAGATGTTTCCATTGAACTCAGAGACACTGGTTTTTGAACTCTTGGCTGCCTCAATTTGGGATGTTCACTCATTGTTATGTGTCATACAGTTTGGCATCACATGGGCTCAGTCTACACCCCTATGGAAAAGGTTCAAATGAGGTTGGCAAATGGAAGCATCAGTAGTATGTTGGGATGTGTTCAAAACCTTTGGATATTGGTCAGAAACATCTCTGGACTGTTCCAGGTGCATGTGGCCACTATGTTACTGATCAGACTGCTCCTCAGAAGGCCGTTCCTAACCCTGTTCAAGTGTTTGACTCAAGATTTCAAAGATGGATACCAGGAGATTACCTTCACCTGTCCAACTACATCAAAGACTGCTGTCATCACCACCTGTTTATCAAACCCACACACATCAGAGGATTTTCAAGAGTCAAGGAACTGAGTCACACTTGGAGAGACTCCCCTCACAGTAGACTGATTGTTATGACTCTGAAGCCAAGAGAGCTGGCATGGCAATTTCAAGATTCAAAGGTTGAATTGATACCTGACATCCCAGCCATATGTTACATCAATTTGGAAATCCTAAATTGGCAGTACCAGTATGTTAGGGCAACACAGGCTGACTAAGTCTGCTCACCTAAGAGTGCCAAGAGTCTAAGCAGGCAACAAGGAAGTGGAGTAGACCTGATAACTAAGACCTATCTACAGTATAGGTACCTGTGGATGATCCTAAGAGAC